GATTGCTAATGTGGGCCTCTCCTGCACAGACACGTACATGCAGACACATGTGTGCACGTATCTTCACGCTGCCTACACGTCACAGGGAATCCAAGAGTGCCACCCTTCTTTGGTCATCACCCATGCTCAGCTGGGACCTTTGGTGAGGCAAGTGTCTTTGACTCACTTTGGTTCCTGTAAGGAATCCTCATCCATGCTTCCATCACCAGGATAAACTCACTGGTTCACTGAGCTGTACTCATGTGAGACCTTTCCTTTTGCCCTTTATTCTCCCATTTACTTGCAAGGAGACATAGAAATTGTCTCTCCAGGAAAAGCAAAACCATCCAAGACCTGGGAGCCGGCAGGTTCTGCCCTCCTCCCCAGGCACCGGGCTCCTTCCTCATCCCACTCCCATTTTTGACCGTCAGCTCTCAGTTCTCATTCACTTCAGTCTCACTGCTCTCCTCAGCCACAGCTAGCTGTCCCTTCACTTGTGAGAGATGAGCTTCACGTTCTTGTTTCCCTGTGGGCTCCCCTGAACCTCCCTGGTGCCCCGTGAACCTCCCCAGTCTCCCCTGAACCTCCCTGGGCTCCTCTGAACCTCCCCGGGCTCCTCTAAACCTCCCCGGGCTCCTCTGAACCTCCTCGGGCTTCCCTGATCCTCCCCAAGCTCCCTTGAACCTCCCCGGGGCTCCTCTGAACCTCCCCAGGCTCCCCTGAACCTCCCTGGGCTCCTCTGAACCTCCCCGGGCTCCTCTAAACCTCCCCGGGCTCCTCTGAACCTCCCCGGGCTCCTCTGAACCTCCTCGGGCTTCCCTGATCCTCCCCAAGCTCCCTTGAACCTCCCCGGGGCTCTCCTGAACCTCCCCAGGCTCCTCTGAACCTTCCCGGGCTCCTCTGAACCTCCCCAGGCTCCCCTGAACCTCCCGGGCTCCTCTGAACCCTGCTTGGCACCCTCATACCTGTACTTGCTGTGTGGGTTAATCTAGATTGTCAACATGACAGGAGATAGAATCACCATGGAAACAATCCTCTAACTATCTCTGTCCCTGATAAAGAAGAGGACCTGCCCTACAGCTAAGTTGCATCATCCTCTGGGCTGGGTTCTGGATTGAATGGAAAGGAGAAGATGAACCTAACACTAGGGTTCACCTCTCTGCTGCTTCTCTGTGGACCTGACTTGAGCAGCTGACTCACCATGACAGGCTCTTCCCACTAACTGTAAGCAAGGTAAACCCTTCACCTCTGCCTTCGTTCTGGTTTCTGATGAACCACCACAGCCGAGAGCATCTCGGCAAGGAAAGGGTTTATCTGCCTTACACTTCCAAATCAACATCCATCATTGAAGGAAGTCAGGACAGGAACACACACTGGGCAGGAACCTGGAGGGAGAAACTGGTACAGAGGCCGTGGAGGCTACTGCTTACTGACTTGCTTGCATGGCTTGCTCCGTCTGCTTAAGTACAGAACCCAGGCCCAGCAGCCAGGGATGGCACCACCCTCAATGGGCTGGGCCTCCGTCATCAACCACTAACTAAGAAAATGTCCTACAGGTTTCCTATGGTTGGATCTTCTACAGGCGTTTCTTCACTGAGGTTCCCTTGTCTCAGATGACTTTAGCTTGTGTCAAGTTGACACAAAAATTCGCTCCTTGTCAACCTAGACACACAAACACATAATTGTTAGACCACACCCTTTTCTTTCTTGTTCATTCCCAAGATCACACGTTAATATTAAGATTACAATATAAAACATTTTGCAATCTTAAAAGGCCCCACAGCCTTACAAATTCAAACACTTTGAAATTTAGTTTCCTTAAAACTTCAAGATCTCTTTTAACATCTAAACATCTTTAGTCTCTCAACTGTGGGTTCCTGTAAAATTGAAAACAAACTAAATACTTCCTTATTTCAAGAAGGAAGAACCAGGGCACAGTCAACAACCTGGACAAAACCAAACCAAACTCCAACTGCGTAAGTAGACAATGTTCAATGTCTGGGATCCACACATAACTTCTGGGCTCCAACAAGGTGCTTGGATCACTTCTCCAGCTCTGCCCTCTACTGCACACACAGCCTGTCTTCTAAACAGAGGCAGGTTTCACTCTGCCGCTGCCGCTGTCCTGGTGGTCAGTCCATGGTACTGACATCTCCAAAATGCTGGGTCCTTCACTGACACTGAGTCTGCACCTCACCTCTGGCCTCTCACAGCGCCAGGCCTCAGCTGCTCTCCCAGACCCCCTCATGCCTTCAAAACCAGCACCATTGGGTGACTCTTACACCTCCCAAGTTGGGTTGCCAGCATGAGGTTCAACCCTGGGCACCTCTGAGCACAGCTTGTGTGTGTACCCAGCGGAAGGATGGAGGATGCTTTCCACACACATCCTAGATTTCCTCTCAGTTATGCTGGTCTCTTCTTAATCCCGGCTGATTCTGCAGCCCCAGCTGAGCCAAACCAAGAAAACTTACTTCAAATATCAAGCACTCACCATAGTCTTCTTGTTGTTTTGTCTTGTTGAAATAAGATCTCTCTATAGCCCTTGCCTTCTGATCACTCTGAAGACCAGTCTGGCCTTGAAATCTGCCTCCCAAGTGCTGGGACTAAAGGTGTGTATCCCACACCTCTAGGAAGCCCTAGTTGTTTGAGGGGCTCTCAAACGTCCCTCTGTAACTTCACAAGTCAGGCCCCCATCATCTGCCCTGTCTTCAGCTGTCTGACCCCCCAGGCTCCCACAGAACAGCCCACCGGGCTCTGCATACTCAGAGTTCAGTTGCCACTACAGTCATCCCCAAAACATGGTCATGTCTGTCACCTTAGGATGGCTATTATGTGGTAAAACACCATGAACCAAAACAACTTGGTTTAGAAGCTGTGGAAGGTGCTGCTTACTGGCTTGCTTCCATGCCTTGCTCAGTCTGCTTTCCTAGAAAACCCTGAACCACCAGCACAGGGGTAGCTTGGTCTGCAGTGAGCTGCGCCCTCCCACAGGCCAGTCTGCTGGGGACATTTTCTCCACTGAGGTTCCCTCTTCTGAAGTGACCCCAGCTTGTGTCAAACTGACATAAAACTGTCCAGCACAGACCGTAAGAGACTAGCAAATGCTTCCAGGCAGATCCGGTATGGTGGGACACTCCAGACTACTGAGTTATTTCATGGTCCCAGGAATGAAGCTGAGTGAGACAACAAGAAAAGACAAATGCAGCCGTGTGGGACACCTGGGGTCAGATGGTCTGGGCCTCCAGCATCCCCGTAGCTCAGCACCTGCATCGTACAGGGTTGAACAGAGAGGCGGGGTTACTGCCGATGGCTGAAGGAAGCAGCTTATGACAGATAAGCGAGGAGACAGGGCTTACGAACACCCAGTGATCTGGATCCATAGGAACAGTCTCTGTGGGGGAGCCATCTTCAGACAGACAGCACCAGGGGAGAATGGAGGATGCCTTCCACACACCCTGTCAACATCACACACGGAGCAGAAGAGAAGGCTTCTTTGTTTCCATCAGGTTTGGAAACTCTGTAGTCCTCAGTATGGCCCGTGTCAACAGCACTCATCCCTCAGTACCTCACGTACTCAGGCTTCCTGGAGGGGGGCAGAGCACTGGGGTTCTGTGATCACAGGACTGCCATCCCTTTGTGAGGTCAAGCACTTATAGCATGGGAGCCATTGATGTTGAGAAGGGGAGCTGGTACCTCCTGAGCACCCCTGAGCCCTTGGAATCTGGGGGTGTGTGTGATGAGGCTTAGGTCCAGGCTGAAGACTCGGGGACAAAGTGGTGGGATCTGGAAATCTACCCCTAGCCCCGTCCCTGAGAGGGACACACACGGGCACACTCATGACGCTGAGGTACACACGCGCATACTGATGGAAGATTGTCAGGGGCCAGCCTCAACAAAAACACCTCTTGCCAGGGCAGGGGCATGGGGATTCAGAAATATTAGTAAAGAATGCGAAGACACATGTGAAATAATAAAAAAGAAAAACATAGAATAGTATCAGGAGGGAGTTCCAGTGAATACTTCCAATTGCTTAAAATACCCTGACCCCAAGAGGTAGGAGTAAGATAAAAAAAAAAAAAAAAAAAAAGCCCTGCACTAACACTATACCAGGAAATGAACAGACCGGTTGAAGGTCGCAGGATACCTCCACAGTTAAACATTCTGTTGCTAGGACAAAACAAGTCACGCTCACACCCTAGACCAAAACATTCTGTAGGCAAACCTACAGAATTGGATTCCTGGGTGGAATCCAATGTTATCTCCTTAAGGGAACTAGACCCTTAGTAGGATCCTTAGACTTCTGTTTGAAGTAGAAGCACGTCTGCTTCTCTATTCCTGAAATACAAGGTCTGGCTATTAGCCACTCGGGTTATTGTCTGCCGATCACCTTGAGAGAGCAAAGCTCTCAGCTTTGAGTCTAGGTGGGACCTTCGTTTGAGGTAGAAACACAATAACCTTGAAGGAATAGCTCAAGGTGGAAATAGGCTCACGTTTTTAAGCCTACAGAGATGATGCGATGCACCCTGTAGCCCGTGTGTCTACATATGGGCCTGCAGACACATCAGAAAATGCATGTGTGCATTGACCTGCATGCATACAGGCATAGATCAGAACATCTACACCCGCATGCACACATGCACAAACCTACGCCTTGCATGCCCACAGCCATGCATCTGCACATGCATTTGTACCCACATGCATGGGCTGAAGCATAGACACAAAGGTGTGTGCTTGCATGTGTGTCTACATATGCACGTGTTGGAAGCTTGCATGGAACCCACAGAAGCGCGTCTGAGGGGAACAAAGCTACCACACTGGGCGAGTGGGGGCTGTCCCATCCACCTCCACCTGAGTCACACTTTCTGGAAAGTGTGAGCTATGGTGTGAGTGAGAGTGAGCTGGGGGCCGGGCCTTCTGGGGGCACAGGAAGAAGAGGAGGGTGCATGGGGAAAGCGGAGGCACCAAACCTCAGCTTTAAAGTGAGCCGCAGGGCGGCAGGAGCCTTTTGCAGCTTGCAAAGCCCCAGCGTTGGGCAATCGTGGTTTCCTCCGGAGGGGAGGAACTCAAACTCGCCTACCCTGTCCCTGGGCTTCTGGGCCTCAGCTGCTCTGGCATGGAGAGTGTGGTACAGCCTTCAGTGTTTGTGGTGGATGGACAAACGGACATCCCGTTCAGGCGTCTGGGACAGAACCACAGGAGACAGCGCTGCGGCATTGCCCAAGTCAACCTGGCCCTGATACTGCTGATGGGCGCCGGGCTGGCTACTCAGGGCTGGTTCCTACTGAGACTGCATCAGCAACTTGGGGATACAGTGACTCGCTTACCGGTACGTGGGGCTCGGGGGTCCAGGGTAGCCTCTCCAGCGTCTATCTCTTTACTGCTGTGTATGCGTGCCAGGCAGAGATTAGACCCTAGGTCTTCTGTCCCTGTCTTCTCATCCGTATGTGGGGATCTGATAGAGGGATATGAGTGTGTGGGGCCCGGCAACTTCCCTGGGACTCACAAACATGACCGTTTTTTACTAGCCGGACCCTTGTGCCCAGCGCTGGCTTCATGGCCATCCTGGTTCACTCTCTGTGCCACAGGTGTATCTGTCTGTGCGCCATACCTGGTCACTTGTGTAAACAATACGCTTCTGCAATCTTCGCCTTTGTTTTCTTGTTAAGTTTTTTTTATTACCTTTACTTATTAGTGTGTGGATATGAGCAGGCGTGCACTTGCTGGAGCATATATGTGGGACACCTTTGTGGAGTCAGCTCTGGGCCCCCCTTTATGTGGGTTCTGGAGCTTGAACTCTGATAGCCAGGATCGGCCACAAGCACTTTTACCCCCTGAGCCCTCTCACTGGCCCTCAAATGATTTTTTTAAGATATGTGATTATTCCAAAAACCTTAAAAACAATTCTGAAACACTTATAGTCTCAAGCATTTCAGACACTCAGCTTTCCTCAGATCTTGACTGAATTCCATGGCACACACCTGTCATCCTGGTTCTTGGGCTGGAGAGGCAGAAGGCCCAAAGATTTCAAGGTCATCAGAGGCTAGTTAGGAAGTCTAAGGCCAGCCTGGGCTACATGAGAGTCAATCTCAGAAACAAAACTGTGTGTGTGTGTGCGCGCGTGTGTGTGTTTGTATGTGTGTGTTTGTATGTGCGTGTGTATATGTGTGTGTGTTTCTCTGTGCGTATATGTTGTGTGTGTGTTTCTCTGTGTGTGGGTGTGCGCGCACGCATGTGTGGGACTGTTGTGTGCACATGTGGCCCCGTGTATGTGTCTGTGGGTGGTGTCTACGGCCATAGCCAGACAGTCTCATCACCATGTGCCTGTGTGACTCTGGGTGTGGTCTGTCCTCACCAAGCGCCCTGTTTGCATTTCAGGACGGAGACACAGGCTCCTGGGAGAAGCTGACCGAAGGTGAGTTGGGCCCCAGCTCCTAAGAAGGAGATGGAATGGTTCCCACTCTGGTCCTCCCACACCCTAGGATAACCCAATGTGATTTTGAGGAGCTCCACAGGTACCCCTCCCCCAGAAGCAGAAGTCTGGGTCACTTCTGGAAGAAGCAGAACCTGACACTGACAGGTGGCCCCAACAAACCCCCACCCCTGCTTCTTTCTGTGTCTCTAACCTAGGACTCTCTTCCCCAGAGCGGCGGCGATCTCAACAGGCCCACCCAGCAGCACACCTCACAGGTAAGGGGACCCCGGGTCTTCACACGGGGTGAAGCTTGGGGTGTCCTGGGAGAGCCAGGTCTTGAGAAGGTCAAGCAACCATTTGGGCATTCATTCAGTGTGTTTTGAACTTTTGTTTACATGTACTTCTTTTTGTTTCTTACTGTTGATACACATGCACATCCCACAGCGTGGAGGCCGGAGGACAGCTCTCGGGACGATTGTTTCTTTCCACCTTGTGGCCTCCGGGGACTGAACTCAAGTTGTCAGTCTTGGCTCCAAGTACCTTTACCCTTAGAGCCATCTTGCCGGCCTCGTTCGTACAATGCTTATTGGCAGGTGGCCCAGAAAGCGCAGCCCCTGAGGACTAAATAAAGTCCCCCCCTTTGCCCTACTAGTCATGGGGACACCTCCCAAGGTCCTCAGAGGCCTCAGAGGATGCTGGGACACAGGCCTATCACACCCTCTATTTTGTTAGTAGATAGGGTCTGTCTATGTAGCCTGGGCTGTCCTGGAACTAGCTCTGTGGACCAGGCTGGCTTTAGACTCACAGAGGTCCTCCTGCCTCTGCCTCCCGGGTGCTGGGAGTAAAGGTGTGTGCCCCCATCATCCGGCTGCCACCGTGCACAGTCGGGTGTACCGTATTTTTTCTTGTGCTTCCATACCACAGTCAGTTTGATTTCTAGTCTAACACAGTATGAAGTGAATCAGAACAGGCATAAAATATGCTATAATCAAAAACTATTTACAACATAAAAGGTGGAGGTGGAGGTGGGGGATGGCTCCGTGCATAAAGCGCTGGCCACACAGGCATGAGTCTAAATCCTAGCATCCCAGTCAAAAGCCAGGCACACACCCCTGTGACCCCGGCAGAGGCAGAGACAGGAAGATCCCTGGGATGCGTTGGCCAGCAGCCTCAACAAACAGGGGACTTCCAGATTCAGTGAGAGATAAGGTGGCCGGAAGCTGAAATTGAGAAAGTTGCCTGGTGTTAACCTCTGGCCACACACATACAGATACACACAGACACACACAGACACAGACACACACACACACTCTCTCATTTTTTGAGCCAGGATCTCAAGTAGCCTGAACTGGCCTTGAACTGCCCGTTTGCTAGTAGAGGATGACCTTGAACTCCTGGTCCTTCTGTTTCCCAGGGAACACAGGCATAGGCCACTACGTCTAGTTTATTCTGTGCAATGTTTGGAGCACAGGTCTTCCTGGGCAGGTGTTCTGCCTCTTCAGCCCCCATCTCATTTCTAAGTATTGACACTTCACTAGGAAACTTAGGCACCCCTTCAGTATCCTCTTTGGTATCCAAGTGGCTTTGCTTCTCTCTGCCTCAGTTTCTCCCCCTACAGAAGGAAATGGGGATGAAACAGTCAGGATACATCATAAGCAGATCACTTTGCTCCCCTGCTCCTCAGAGTCCCCCACCTACAGGATGGGAGAGGACTGAGTCAACCCAAACGGCCTTATACAACAGTGGAGCAACAGACAGGAGCTAACAACTAGCATAAGGTCCCAAAGAAGGATGGGCGGGCACTACCTGTGCTGACCGGTTCTCTCTCTCTCTCTCCTTCCCAGGGGCCAACGCCAGTTTGATAGGCAAGGGTGGACCTCTGCTATGGGAGACTCGCCTTGGCCTGGCCTTCTTGAGGGGCCTGAGATATCACAACGGGGCCCTGGTGACCACGGAAGCCGGCTACTACTATGTGTACTCGAAAGTACAGTTGAGCGGCGTGGGCTGCCCCCAGGGCCTGGCCAAAGTCCCTATCACACACGGGCTGTATAAACGTACATCCCGCTACCCCAAGGAGCTAGAACTGCTGGTCAGTCGGCGGTCACCCTGTGGCCGGACCAACACCTCCCGAGTCTGGTGGGACAGCAGCTTCCTGGGCGGCGTGGTGCACCTGGAAGCGGGGGAGGAGGTTGTGGTTCGTGTACCTGGGGACCGCCTGGTCAGACCACGGGATGGCACCAGGTCCTATTTCGGAGCATTCATGATCTGAAGGCCGTGGGTGACGACGGACTGATGGCAAGGGGGCGCCTCTCCAAGACAGACCTCAAACCCAGCAAGCAGGGATCTTGGAGGTTCCCCTTAAGGATCCCCAAATTCTGCAAGTGGAGCTCAGGGACCATGTAGAATGCTGACCTGCCTTGGTAAATCTTCAAATTGAAGACTTGGGGTGTGGACCCCAGGAATGTAGGGTCAGCCCATTTGCCTGATATTCAGGAAGAAAGAATAAAGCTGGGGTATTTATGTGTCTGATGACTACTGTGGACTTGGAGTTTCTGGGCTTATAGGCTGGAGACAAGAAACCTCCTCAGGGTGTCAGGAGAGTTATATCACCGGGACCCTGGCCACTCCCACAGATCATCTGCATTTGGTTTCCAGCCACCAGGGCAGCATTGGCTAGCTGGCTGTGACTGGCCTGAGGCCAGCTCCTGAGCACATGAATCCTTCAGGGATACTCTGATGGGACCTCGGCACTCAGCCCAATGTGTGGCTACGACAGACTCTCCAGAAATGGTGGGGAAAGGAAGGGAGGGAGGGAGGGAGTGCCAAGGAGAAGGAAAAACAAAAGGTAGAAAGAGAGGAGAGAGGTGACCCCCTCCAGAGCACTTTATTGAACGCACTTAGAACAGTGTGTGTCAGACCTGCAGGATGCCTGGAGCTGATGGGAGTGGGAGATGGCTCAGAGGATAGAGAGCTTGCGGCTCTGTCATGAGGATCCAAGTTCAAATCCCCAGAACCAGTACAGAGACAGATGTGGTGGTGGGCACCTGCAACCCCATCAGTGGGGAAAGGAGGATGAGCTTGTTGGCCAAGCAGTCTAGCTGAATCAGTGAGCTCCAGGTTCAGTGAGAGACCTCCTCAAAGAAAGCAGACATCTGAGGCTGTCCTCTGGACCCCACATGCAGGACACACACAGAATAAATAAAATAAAATAAAATAAAAAAGATTTTAAATAATAGTATTTGAGAAGCTCTTTATTGTGAATGAAATTTCTGTCCCACCAGGTCCTGCAGCTGTTCAGTCCCAAATGAGCACACAGAGGCTTATATTAATTATCTTAAACTGCTTGACCTGCTGCTTGGGCTTATTGCTAACTAGCTCTTACAATTTAAATTAACCCATAATTCTTGTCTGTGTTTAGCCACAAGGCTTGGTACCTTTTCTCAGTAAGGCATTCTCATCTCCTCTGCATCTGGCTGGTGACTGTGTCTCTGCCTTTCCTCCTCCCAGAATTCTCTTAGCCTGGTCACTTAGCCCCGCCTATACTTCCTGCCTGACTACTGGCCAATCAGCGTTCTATTAAGCCAATACAAGTGACAAATCTTTACAGTGTACAAGAGCATTATCCCACAGTACTTTGTATCTTTAATCATTTGTCTTCTTCTGTTTGTTCATTTGTTTCAAGACCAGGTCTCAAGTAGCCCAGGCTGGCCTTGAACTTGCTATGTAGCCCAGGCTGGCCTTGAGCTCTTGACCCTCCTGCCTCCATCTCCTGAGTGCTGGGCTGACAGCTGTGTTCCACCATGCCTGGATAAGCACCTTGCATAGATTATATCTTCTTTAGTTTTTTTTTTATATTATTGAGGCAGAGTCTTGAGCAGCCCTTCTGCCTCAGTTTCCCCAGGATCTAGAACTGCAGCTGTGTGTTACCCTCGCTGAATATCTGTACAGAGAAACCTAAGGCCTGAGCAGAACATGTTGTCCCACACCTTCTAGATGGAGAGGCCACACCCTAGAAGGACAGGACAGCTTCCCTCTGCCCAGGAACCACAGCCCGTCTGAGCTTACTTTCCGCCTCCTGTCCTTGCAAGGCCACCGGTGGGAGGAGGAAACACCTCCAATACCCAGCCTCACCCCACACTGGAGTTTCCTGTATGCTCATCGTGGTCTGTTTCCGTGGCTTTGATGAGACCAAGGTGTGGGGACAGCGTATTTATAAAAAGCTGCCAGCAGCCAGCAGTTTCCGTCTAAAGAAGAAGAAGAAAATCATTCTTGAAGATTTTTCTCAGTTTGAGGAGAATAGAGGGAGAGGTTGTGGGTGAGGGTGGGAGGTGGGAAGAAACAGGGAGAGAAGGTAAAGGTGAGGAGAAGGATGAGGAAAGAGACGGGGATCCCCTAGCAGGCGTTGGTGACTTCAGGTAAGGGCTAGAGGCAGGAAGTCTTTAGCCCTATTGACCTATTTCTGATTATCTTCCACGCCTGGGGCTCTACTACCCTGCTTCCTGGAACCCCATCCTCCCCCTAGGCAGTCACCCACCCCTCTTCCCTTCTTCTTTTACCAAGACCCAAAAATAATGACGGTATAACAATGTCTTAGAATGGCCAACCAAGACCACTGTGTTCAAATGGGAGACATGACATCATTGCAGAGAAATCAGAACGTTCTTACGCTCTGGAGTTGATGCTCCAAGTTGAAATCCCTGCTTTGCCACTTCCCAGCTGGGTGTCTTTGAGATCCATCCTTGGCATCTTTGGGCCTCAGTTTAGCTTGGGCTGCAGTGAGCTCTTTTATCTTTGGCAACACTATTCTTCCTCTAAGTGTGGTTGTCACTGTGCTAGACATGTGTCTCCCCAAAGGTGGTACTTTGGTGCCAGGTATAGGGTACCTCCTGGCAAATTGTTGGTCTCCAAGAGACCACCAAAACAATGCAAGCTATTGCTGTTGCTCTTTGTTGCCCACCAGAACGTGATAGGACCTTATCAAGTTGTCTTGTGCAGCAAGCCCCAGTTAAAATGCTTCCTTCATAAGAGTTGCCTTGGTCATGGTGTCTCCTCACAGGGGCAGAACAGTGGCTGAGACTCTCAAACAGGCCGTTCTCTCTGGACTCAGGAGTTATAGAGGACAAGGGCATGAAAGTTGGAGTATGGGGGTCCTGGAGGAGTTGGAGGGGGAGTGACATGGATATGATAAAAATGTACCATATACTGGAATCCTCAAACACCAAAAACCGTGTGGGGCTTGTCGGGAGCCCACCGGACAGTTGGGAGCAGGCCCTCTAAGAAGAGAATGAAATGTGCTCCCTTCTTTCTTCCTCTCCCACTTCCCCACCATGAAGCAATTGCCCCCTCTTAAGGTATTCCCACCATGCCATGAACCAGTAAACCTTTTTCTCTTTATACTTTGTCTCTGCCGTTTGTTGTCGAAACAGAAAACTGACCTGGCTGTGATTGTACACACCTTTAAATTTCTGATTGTCTCAACTATTATGTCAGAGATGCCAACATTGTGTGTGTGTGTGTGTGTGTCTGTGTGCATGTGGCATGTGCTTGCAGTAGTAGACATGTGCCCATGTGCACTTATGGATGCAGAAGCCAGCAGCCAACCTTGGAGTCATTCTTCAGGTACCATCCACCCTTGCGGGCTGAGTAGGTGTCTGTTCATATATCCTCAGTAACTCAACAACCAGGATGCTGGGAGTGGACACCAGCTGGGAACAATCCCTTTAATCAAATGCTCCTTTCCCTGGACTATTGAAGTTCCAGACAGCTTAGGAAGCCCTGAGCTATAAAGAGTGGAAGAAAAAACTGACTGGCTCACAGATGCAGGTGTCCAGATGCAGGTGTCTAAACACAGGTGTCTAGGTGCAGGTGTTTAAGCACAGGTGTCCAAGTGCAGGTGTCTAAGCACAGGTGTCCAGCTGTAGATATCTAGGCACAGGTGTCCAAGTACAGGCATCTAAGCACGCTTGTCCAGGTGCAGGTGTTCAAGCACAGGTGTTCAGGTGCAGGTGTTTCATCAGATGTACAGGTGTATGTATTCAGGCATGTGTGTCCAGGTTCAGGTGTGCAGCCATGTGAATTCAGGTGCAGGAGTCCAGGCACAGGCATTCAGATACGTGTGTCCAGATACACTGTCCACACATGCTCCAGCTGTCAATCACCTCCACTCAGGCACCTGGCACCTATTGCCAGCTGAGCAATCTCCATCAATACTGAGCAGAATCTTGCTGGGTAGATTTTTTTTTTTCGTTGTTGTCATTGAGCTGGGAAGTTCTTTGAGGCTGCCCAGAGACGCCCCTGAGTCACTTCCTGTGGGGAAGCTCCACAGATGCCTTATGGGGAGCAAGAGTCAAGACACTTCCATCTTCGAGTTCCCCCAAACCCTTCTGAGAGAATTTTAATGTTTCCATGGCTCTTTCTAAAAAACAAAATGTAAATTAATTTGCCCTGTTACAGACTAAATTGTGTGTGGCACCCCCAAAAACACGTGATGAAGGCCTGACACGCACTCCCACACCTGTTTTTGCTCTGATTTGCTGTCTGTTGCTGTATCAAATACTGTCCATGAGTAGCATGGGGAGGAAAGGGCTGATTTGGCTTACACTCCCAGGTCACAGTTCATCGCTGAGGTGTGAACCATGGAGGAAGGTTGCTGCCCCACTCCTGCTCATGGCCAGTGAGTGAGCTTCATTACACAGCCCAAGCCCAGCTGCCTAGGGGTGGTGCTGCCCACAGCGGGCAGGTCCTCCTATGTCTACCATCAATCAAGCTGCCAAATGTGGACTAACTTCCCAGTGTGCATCTGTGAAGACTCCGCTAGACGGAGGTCGGTAGACAGCAGTAACCCAGTATGAGTGGAGACTGGAGGGCGGCTCAGTGGGATGTGGCCGGGTCAGTCAGAGGCCAGACTGGAGAAGGAGTCTACCGTCTGCTGCTGTAACAAAATACCCGAGCCTGAATACTTTACAAAGAGAAGAGGGTTGGTTGATCTCACAGCTCAGGAAGTTTGGAGCCTGTGCCAACACCGTGACTTGATGTCAGACACCATGGAGAGGTTCCTAAGGTTTTTAAAGACCTTGACTCTGCTAAACCTAAGATGAGTGGTTTCAACTGCAGAAGAAATTCAGTACAAGTAGGGTTGGGGTTTTAGTCAACAGAAGGGCAATCAAAGACAGACTAGGGTGAGACACAGCAGATACAGCCCTTGTCCGGCCCCTCCTGCTCCCTCCCTCCCCTCCCTTCCATTTCCTTTTCATTGAGATTTCTCCTTGAGACAGAGTCTCACTCTGTAACCCAGATTGGCCTGGAAATTAAAGAAATTCTCCTGCCTCCGCTTCCTGAGTGCTGGAAGAACCGACGTGAACCACTCTGCCCAGCCTGCTTGGTTGGCACAATCCATTTGTACGAAACCTTTAAGTTGAGATATCCATCTCACTTAAGTCCAGACCAAAAATCCAGACCAGCTACGGTGGTGCCCAGCCTCCACCTAAGCCTACAGGAGGCTGACACAAGAGGACTGAGAATTTGTGACCAGCCTGGGCTACCTGGTGAGGCCATGTCTGAAACATCTGCTAATGGATAAAATGTAGGTTCCTGTGGAGTCAGAGGTTCTCTCGGCACTGGGCTGATCTCACTCTCTGGTGGGCGGGTTGTGCATCACAGGGTATGGAGAAACCTCTCTGGTCTCCACCCACTCCCCAGCCAACCACAAACACCCCAGATGTCACCAAGAGTCTCCTGGAGGAACCACCGAGGGACATGATCACATCTGGAAGTTTCCTTTTCCGTGACCAGCCTCTGGTGGCTTCCGCATAACACTTAGCTTCCTTCCTTGGTCTCCCATAAGCAGCAAAGGGAACACATCGTCACCCGCTCGGCAGTGTGATTTATTACATAGTATGCCAGGCTTTTAAATGTGTGTGGGTGCTTACTATTATATTATATTATATTATACCCCCATAGACATCCGTTTCCCATTGCAAATGCTGCGTGTGTAGTTTGTGTGCACATGTGTGCATGAGTGTGACTGAGAAAGAGACCTCCTGTGCCAGAATCACTCCAGAATCTTCCATTGTGACTGACTTATTTCAGTCAGCAGAATTGTCTCCCCCTCTGTCTCCTCCCTCCATCTTTTCCTCCATCTCCTCCTCCACCTCCTCCTCCATCTCCTACTCCTCCTTCATCTCTTCCTCCATTTCCACCTCCTCTACCTCCTCCATCCCCTCCT